TTTAGGCCTCCAGATATTCTGATCCAAGTTTGATTCAAACTCACCAAACCTAAAGATTTTTATTAATAACAAAGGTTGCATGTACTTTCTACTTTATAACTAACCTACTGCTTCTGCTTAAGTCAATTTATCTAGTTTTCCACTGACTTCAACAGGGGAGACATTAGGTACAAGTAAAATTTCAATCTAGAGCTGATGTCATGTTCCAGATAGTATGGACTGCTCTTCCACATTACATACAGAAATGAATGATTTGGAAAGAGGAGCAAATGAATGAGGAAGCTCAGGTTTAGGCCCAAGAAATTGGCTAGTCAACAATGATGGGCAGCAAATTAAAAAAACAGCAATTAACTAAAATAGCATATTTTTAAAGATTATTTGATCATAGCAGGAGCTTTTTAGATTTATGTAAGTGTCACAACTAATTTGTTTGTGGAACTCATGTTAGGTCTATGCCTAGTGTGAGCTGTCAAACTTTAGTCTTTCTCTGTGAATCTCGTTTTTCAAAGAAATGCAGTTTTTTTGCATTTGCAAGCAAAATCTAAACAGTTACCTTCCCCTCCCGCCCCCCCCCGGCCCCCCCCCAAAAAAAAAATCTAGCCAAAAATAAGAGTTTGGGAACAGACAAGCTGTGGATCATCAGCACTGGTGAGTGATTACTGTCCTTTAGAGCAATTTCTTTAGAGCAATGCCCTATTTTTTTTTTAACCAGATAAATGATCCTCCTACTATTCTTTCTAGAAAAAAAAACACATGCTAATAGTTACATACTGGTCTCTTCAAACATGGGCATGCAACGGCTTTCAAAATAATGGACAAGATAATAGGCTCCTAACCTCACATTTAGGCACATAATTAGGATACCTCATTACAAGCGCTGCAGAAAGAGATCATTTGCTTGCACCAARGCACAGTTAGCCAGGACTGCTGGGGACACAGGTAGGACAGGAACCAACAATCCAGACAATCCTCCAGTCCTGTTTCATCTGTCTAGGAACAGACCTGCTTGTGAAATCATATTCTGCAAGGGATAACTTGCAAAGGTGTGAAAAATTGCCAGTGTTGATATGTCATGCAGTCGAACAGAAAATGCAAACAGAGGCAAGGCTGAGAAAGCAACCCCTCTTCTCAGAATCAGATCACTAGGATTTGGGGAGACAGGGACTCTATCTGTACAGGCACAAAAACAAAGCAGCACAAGGAAATACACATCTGAAAGTCATCTTGCAACTCTTATAATTTATTTCAGATCTGCTTCATAAGAAGGGCTATGAATCCATTTTCTTTTTAATTTTTTTTTTTCAGTGTATGTTTCTTCCTTTAAAAAATATTAACAAAAAACAAACCAAACCCCACTATATACTACTAAACATCACAAGGACATTAAGACCACAGGATCTATCTATTCTCAGTCAGGAATCTGCGGGCACTGCTTGTCCAGCTCTGTTCTAAGGAGTACTGTACAGTTCCACCGACTGCTTTTTTGGAACACTTAACGGATTAAAATCTGTCAGCCTATAGCCCCRCTCCAGAAGGAGGGCAAGGGGAAGAAGAGAAAATGAAAAGTGCCARGTGACACTTTATAAGCACTGTATTGTTGCTAAGTACTTAGAGCAGGTTCTCCTTGACAATCTGTCACACTAAAATGGGATGCTCTGTCACAAATGAATCACCTAACACCGTTCTTACAAAAGATGAGCACAGAATTTCAGGTAACATGACAAGCCACGATTTGCCTCAGTCTTCTAAAACATGCCAAGGTGGAATGCAGAGGAGAAAGCCAAGAAGAGATGGAAGTTTAAGCAGCAATACAGTGTATTTTAAGGCAGCATTTTATTATTATTATTACTAGGGTTGATAGACATGGTATGACTAAATAGCTAAATATGAGGTTAATTAAAAACAAACAGTTCCTTTTTAAAAAACATATTATTGACCAGAAACATTATTTTCTCAGGAGCTTGTTACATGAGCATTATTGCCTTGACTGAGCATTATTAGCATGTCAGTCACTTCCAGACTATTTTTATAACCTAAGGCATGTTATTTTATTGCAACATACACAGACAGAAAAGTGTATACACACAGTAAGGAGTACAGGAATTCATAATCTCTACCAACAATATCTRTTTGGTAGTGCCTAGGACCATGAGGAAGCAATAGGAGGGCCACTTACACTGTAACATGGGAATTCAATAACTGTGTCTCTTATTGTTATTTGTTGCTCCTACTTTCTATAATAAGAACTATTTAATCCCTAAGTCTCTCAAGACTTGCTAATTGCTGCAGCTGGATGGCCCAATATGAAGTTTAGACACAGCCTACAAATCAAACTGATTGCCTAGAAGTACACAGAGAGTGCAAGTGAGAGCCCAGGATCAACGGGGGCTGCGTGTCAGGTAGTTTTRGTTTAGTCAGCTCCACAGGCACAAACAAGTTGGTGTGTAGACTCAGTTTAAGAGAAGTAATTATGTTAACGAGTTTATAATTGAATTTATCCTTTGTGAAAAGTCAGTGGGAGTCCTGATGACAAGTCCACAGAATGATAACAGCAAAAATACTGGCAGTTACATAGCCTGTTTCTTCATTTATTTGTCACAGAGGTACCACATTGAAAAACTCTTCCACCCTTTGACTATTCCGTTAATCACCAGGAGATAAAGATGCTAGTTCCTGCCAAGAACTAGACTGAAACCATAAGGCATAAATAATTCTTATTTACTGCATTTATTCTCATTACTAGCTAGATCAAACAATTTATTTACTCTAAAATAGCCTGATTTCTGYGTCCAGTACAAATTAATGCCAATAATGACACTGTGTAAAATACATATTCTAGTTATTTGCTATCTGAAAGGAAATATGTAGGAAATTTTTGCATCTCTCCCACTGCTTTGGTTGAATATTATCTTTCTCACAGGATATGAYAGTGCTTAGGTTTCTAGAACAGTCTGAATATATCATTTGCCAGAGAAATTACTATAGGTTAAATATTTCATTTTTACCAAAGGAAATGACCTAAATTTTGTGTCTTTACCTGAGGCAGGCAGGAAAGATTGTGAAGAATGCCACACATTACTTTGCTGATGTAAGAGAATAATGGGATAAACATAACAGGAACRCATACTAACATCCACCATTTAAACTTAACCCCTGGGCTGTATCTCATTCATGTCGTCTCCATATGGAGTTAGATACGTATACAGTATAGTCTCCCACACAAAGCCAGCATTTCCCAGAGGAAGCTTTGTCTGAGTGCACTAGATTGATTCAAAATCTTGTGGAAAGTTAGAACATTTAAATGCCTAAGTCAACTGGAGAGATTTTTGTAAAGCGACACCCATACWTTACGATGCCCATTGGCTCCACTGAAGACGGGACATGCATGCAACATGACTGTTTCCAATTTCAACATTTCTTTTCTTTTAACTGCAATGAAAAGGAATAAACCACAGCAAGCTGACAGTTCACTGAAACTCAGGGTCACGTGGGATAGCAAATAAAGAAATACAACAAATCATTTCCCTGTACAAAAATGTCTAMCCAAGAGACTTTGTCAAGCTACCACCATGGTTGTGAGGATCCTGTTTCCTTTTGGCCTAGGATGAAGTATAACTGTGGTGTGCAACTCTACTATTTACCCATGTTGTAAGGCAAAATTTAAACATTCTTTTTATTTGACTATTTTTTCAGATCTTTGTAGAAACAAGGTTAGATCTGTATTTCAAAACGGAAAAAAAAATAATTGAGAAGAATAAAAAATGGCATTCTCATAATTCAGTAGGTCTAGATCATTAAGTCTCTACCAAATCTCTCTGCTGATTTATATTTCTGTGCTACTCCAATGCCTCCAAATTGCAATCTAAAAAAAAAAAAATTGAGACTTGAGCAAGCTCAAATCTGGATTTGGGCTCTCGAGGTATGCAGGCTAATGGTAGGAGGCAGGTTCCCTCCTGCACGCTCCAGCACCTGTGCTAAGCTGCACTTCACCCAGCTCTGGTCTAGGTGAAGGCTGCTACTGCCGTTTGTACACAGCAGRTCCCACGACCTCAGCAGTAAGTCTCTCACCTGCATTTTGTTATTACAAAAAACAGGAGAGCTGGTCAGCTTAACACAACAAATAAAAGAATCTCATTATGTTTCTACTGTGCCCGAGTTGATCAAAAGGAAAAAATGCTCTCCACAGAACAATCCTTCCAGTCAGCCATTACTTTTTAAGGGACGAGAAGAGGGRGAGAGGGATCCTCAGGGAACTTCTGAAATCTTCCCTCTCTTTTGATACTAGAAATCACACACACCGCCAGCAGACTACTGTTTTGCTACTCTGATACGGGGCAGTCACTACRGTTGCTCACATCAACCCAGTTTTGCATGAAACTCTGGTCACCTCTTTGCACAACTCATTTTCTGTCTAGACCTCACAGTCTTATCCAGTCCTGTTAAATTTTGCTTGCATCTAAGACATGTTCCATAAGGGCAGATGACATTGCAGTGAAACAGCAAAACATTTTACACAGCACAGCAACAAGGAACAAGCTAGAATATCCCATTTTCAGAAAGCAGAAACAAACCAAATACAAGGCAGTGGCCTTGAAAACAAACCCAAATTCAAACCCCTAGATGTCACTGTTCAGAGCATGTAAAATTTAATATACAGAAAGAGTATTTAGAAGAGTTGGAATCAATGTGTGCATATATTTGCCTGATGGCTTTTTAAAATTAATTAACAAAATTAATTCCTGGATGAAAACTTTGCTGTATTTTATAAAATTATAATAAACAAATTCATACTTCTTTAGACATATCTAAGTACCATTTTTCATCATAAGCTTTTCAACAGCTGTGTCTCATAATCTGTAAACACTTAGTACCAAAAAATTGTAAATTACATGATTTATAATGTGTTTGTATCTCTAAATTTTCTTTTCTTTCTTTATAGAGAGATTCAATGTGTTGGACACAGCCAGTATGATTCTTGTGTAAAAGGAAATCAGTGATGCAACCAAGACACCTGACCATGAACTTAAGTTGAGACTGGCAGGTTCTCTTCAGCTTAGAAATTAATTTTTTAAGCACTGAATTTGAATGACACTGAACTGCCAGTGCTGTTACAGGTACAAAGGCTTTAATTTAAGCTCTACACCACTTTTCTTCATGTTCTCACATGAGGAACAAAGTGCCTTGTTTGCAGCATGTGTCTGATTATATCACCTTACAGAACTGTTTTCTTTTTGGAATCTTTTTAAGTTGAAGCATAAATTCTGTCTACAGTGCTCCACATTCCCCAAAAAGTAAAAACAAAGCAATGCAGCTTAAATAACTTACGCTCACATTTCTTGGATCACTTCAGATTGTTTCCCGTCATCACTGCATGATATGAATAAATCTGAAGTATTTTACAGACTAGATTCTGATTTTCTGTTAAAAATAATAATAATAATAAAAATGGTTAGCCGTAGTTCACGTGAAAGGTGTAGATGCATCATCATACACATCTGCAATGCACATGATTGTACAGATGTGATTCGGATGTCTGTGAACCATATAAAGGATGATCACCTTCATAAACATAMAACCTATATGATGCTACATTCTAAGGTACCTGAAATGACAACAACAGTCAGGCACACAAACCTATTCATCATATCTAAAATATTAAATTTCAGTTAGTTTCTGGCTAGGTTCTGCTTTGCGTTTTATATTGTTGCTTTTTCTCTCATCACCAGCAGCTTTCCTTCCCAGGTCACAACTAATCCACCAAGCTTGCGAAGGAGTTAAACTTTTCTCTTCCCAGCAGTATGAAGCTGTTCACTCAGGCCATCTACAGGGATCACTTCACTGTAATATAAACAAGCACTAAATGTAATGTGCATTTCACAGGCAAATGACCATGTGGGAGTAAAAAATAAATAAAATGTCTTTTATAAATTGAATAATTTACTGTAGTTGAAGCATGCACAAGGAAATGATGCATCACAATGTTATAAGAAATTTAAAATTGGTTTCTTTTGAGTACTTAAGAGCTGGCCTAAAACACCTGCAATATAATGTTTTTTTAAGTCCCCTAATTCCAACTGTTTCATCTGCAATAGAAAAATCTTATATTTGCTATATGAAGTTCAGTAYATGCAAAACATCTTTCTAAAATGGAATGAACTTTAAAGCACATATATATCAATCTGCCCTGAAATTTCTTGAATCTGAGTGTAAAAAAGCATATTCCTTTTTTTTTTTTTTTAAAATCATCGAAAGAAAAATCGTTCCCAAATGGTTGACTAACTATACTGAGCAAATGAACACTCAAAAATTAAATAGTCTAGTGCAAAATTAGATAAACTGAAAACTTCACTCAGTCTTTAGGTTTAATTAATACAATAAATACCATTCACTATATCCATATGTACCAATTAAGGTAGATATGTTTGGTCTGTGTTTCTATATATGATTACTCTGGTCATCACTCAATGGAAACACTTTACCAACATTATCTAAGAATATCTAATTGTGAGGTTAAAATATGAAGAAGCAAATTCTTGACTCTTCCTATTGATACATGTTAATTTAAAAGACAGATTATCTTCACTTTTAAACATGGAAAAGAATCATCATTACATTACATAACATAACATTACTCACACTGAGGAGGAAAAATATCGTTTATAACATCTATAAAAACTGTATACTTATTCTGGATGGTTCTTGAGCTTCTAAAAAGCATTGTGAACAACTGAAAGTCCTGATTTGTGACAAAAAGAATCCAGTTAATGAACAAGAGGAACCTGATCTGCTATTGAGTATAGTGAAACTGAACATTATATAGATAAAATAGTTGAAGATCACAATGTCCTAGATATGAGAAGGCATGGATTTTTTTTTTTTAATTGCTCATATATGTTTAATAGTCACCTRCGTAGAGTGCATCGAGAAGACTTTGTTGAGAAAGTTTCTAGATTAGCAAGATCAAGACATACCTGAAAAAATGTTTCAATAGAAACAGAGGAATCTATTATCTCTTTTAAAGTTTGAGGGTGATTATTTGATAGAAGAGATTACTTACCTTTGACACATCATGTTAATGACAGCTTCCTGTAGCAGCACTGGATTGGGCTCAGCAAGGCAGAAGACCCTTTCAAGTCTTACATTGCTCACAAAGTCCTGTTCTCAACTGGACCTCAGCAAATAAAGGTCCAGAGGGTGGAATCCAGTTTGTCTGTTTTATTCTAAAACAGAAAGATAGAGGAATCTAAGACACACACTAACAATACAAAACTAAAAAACAGTGGTCCAACAAAACGAAAGCTGCCAGAACAAACACCAGGGAAATTACGGGATTAGTTCCTACAAATCAGTCCTGAGGACTTGATTTTGAAAGACTGGAAGTGGCAGAGAAGAGCAGCAGCTGAGACAGAAATAACAGAAGGTAGGACAAGAGCAAACAAGGTCCTAGAATCATTCCTCTGTTATGACATGAATGTGTCTTACTTGTCACAGACTCATTTTTCATCTCCTTTGACTTAGCAAGAATACAGTATAACACTATGCTCAGCTGTGGCATATAGGCCAAGGATTATGGATAAATAATTGCTATGGCATAGAAATTAAAGCAGAGACTGTAATTTGAAGACTCTTGTAAATGTAAAATACTTGGAAAATGCACAACCACTACACTTATTTCCTGTACTTTTGATCTGTTTTGAATATATATGTAAATGTAAAAGTGCCACTCTAACATGCAAGCAACAAACTGTGTAAGCCAGAACATTAACTATAAATAAGTAGATCTTTCTTTGGTCTTAAAATCGAAATTATTTCCAAGGGAAGATTGTAATTACTATGACATTGGGGCTTTTAGCAGATGTGAAACCGGATAGATTGAGCTTTCATATGAATAGCCTGAAACAAGGTCTGCCTTGCATGGTTTGTAGTAATGGAGAGGAAATTGAGCATTAAATACAAATCAACAATCTTTCGTTTCACTGCAGCACTGGAGCAGTAGAGCAAGTGAAGTCACACTTTTCAGCACCTTGCATCCTGCTGGCCTGTATTTATGGCACTGAAGCTCCCATCTTTGTGAAGGGCCACCTACCAGGTAACCCAAACAAAGGATGATTAAAACAGAAAGCAATTTAAGGCCCAATTTTTATACCCAAATATCAGAGAAGTAACATTTTCTCTGCTTGCATCATGTGATGGGTCTTTAGATATTTCATTGAGCTATTGTTCAAACAGCTTCAAGAGCTCAATATGGTAAGCCACATACTGCAAGCCACAGTAACAGCAGATACGAGCTGGATACTTGCACAATAAGTCAGAAGATTTATTAGTTTTCTAATCCAAAGACTGGCCTGACTTTCCATGCAAAAGTTGAATAGGAAGTTGAAAATCCCCTCTAATGTTTCTGAGAGGTGTGAGGAGACAAGGAAAGCACCTGCAATGCATCACTGCTTACATTGCAGAGAGAAGCGCTGGACTTGTTGGCTGGGGTTGTCTCTCAGTAGAGGGAGCAGACAACAGGCAAGGAATTCATGGCTCATTATGTGTGAGGAGAAAAATTGTACAGTCTCCACTGAAACAACAGAATGTTCTCCGGGTCAACAGCTCTAAAAAGTTGCTATTTAAAAATCCGATTTAAGCTCTGAATGGCTCAAGTTCATGCTAATGTTTAGATGTCTCTGTACAATTAAAAAAAAGACATTAATATTTGGCTTTTAGCTGGCATCTGTGCTATTCCAAAGGCAACTCTAAGTTCCAAGCCAAAAAGAAAAAGAAAAGAAAAAGAGCAATGTTTTAACTGTTTAATGTCATTTAATAATTCTTTACAATGCTCTTTGGGGAGAGAAGAATACTAAAATAGGCTTGTTTCTTAATAAATTTCATTCTATTGTCAAAAGACACTTTTGCCAAGACCACATCCATCATGACAGCACTATCATTACTAAATTCATTATCAGCTGATCTCCACGCACTTACAAGAACCACATCAACTCCTGCAAAATAATGCAGGGCATCATCTCCCCTTCAAATAGTTTATTCCCACATTAGCAGATTCATTTGCCAACATGAAAAACAAGAGACCTTCCACACACGTGTTTTGCCTGGCAGTGACAGTCTGGTAGTGGTATTTTGACAAGTCATATTATGCAAGAACTGGAAAAGGAATTTAAAAAACAATAGCCTAAAATTCATCAAAACTGTACCTGACAAAATAATAATTCAACCCATTTTCTATTTAGCTAGATAAGCTGGGAGAAAAAAAACTATTTTATCAATTGGATGATAAACGGACACAAACTAATGCCATATATTCTTAACTATGGAGCCTAGCCAATGTCAGATATGGAGCGTATAAAGAGTTTTAAGGAACATCAATCAAGCAAACTTGCAAGAGAAGCTTCTTTAAACAGAGCTACACTAGAAAACAAATTCTTGAATGTAATAGTAAACATATATTACTGCATAAAATGGAAGTAAATAGATAAAAGTCTTCTGATTAAATTTAACTTGAAAGACTTATGTTCATTTCAATAATATCCTTGAGATTATAATATTTTCTAAGTTAAAATTGAACTCATACTTATTATATTACTTGTAGATTTAATTTATGGAATAGGAAATCTAACCCATGTTTTTGTGCTGTATCTGCAACATTTATTTTTAGAAAATAATCTTTATGATCTCACAGTCAGAGGATTTTCTTCTGAGCTTTAATCAATGCAAGAATCACACAGTTTAAAAAAGGAAGCCTAAAGGAATGTCTTCAAGTGATCCTGAAAATGCAAACTAGAATTTCTGTCATTGCTTGTGAGAATTATCTATAAATTTTCAAACTCAATGATTGCAACTAACCTGATCAAAAGTCTGGTTTTAGTTTAAGTGGAGGATTTGATAAAAGTCTAGGTAATTATTAACTAAATAATGAGATGCTTCTTTACCACCTTCATTGTATATTACATTTTAAATAAGAAAAAAGTTAAAACTGAAAAATATACCATAACTTGGACATTCRATTTTTTCAAGATAGATTGTTCGTGCAGAGAAAATAAGACATGAATGGGAGRAAATGAAAGACATTTTACAATAAAATTTTGCTGAGATTCAACTAAGTTCTTAAATCTAATTTTAACATCCATTCATCGAAACAGAACATCACATGCAGGACTGTATAAAATCAAAGATTTTAATTGTGGTTTTTGTTTCTTTTTTTCTTTTTTTCTTTTTTCTTTTTTTTTTTTTAAATAAGCACTATTAGCCTTCCAATCTTCTCAAACAGTATTAATATCACACTGTCAAAATATCTAACTGGAATACAAATAAGAACAGCAAAAGTCACCAAAAGATAAGCATAGAAATGCTCCATCATAAGGAATAAAGTTCTCAGCTACTAGAAATAAACATAAGAGTGGAGGTTTGAAACAGACTCCCAACAGAGTTCCAATTTGAGCTTTTTGGGGTACTGTATTTACCACAAKACCAAGAACTACTACTGACAGATCTACCAGACCACATATGATGTGGACATGAGTATGATATGATTATTCACCAGTTCTCAAAACACAAAAAGCATGGGGGTGATAGATTATTTTGGCTAACAAAAAAGAGAAACTTTTTCACATTTTAATTATATCACCCAAAGGAATAAACAAGAATAGGGATTTTGAAGCTGCAAAACACAACCACAGGTGACTGCTACAAACAAACATGCTCCTAACAGCAATGACTGTTGATGCACTGTGCAAATACTGACATCAAAGACATTTAAATAAGCACTGCCAGGATCGCCAAAACACTGTCCAGCTTCCTTGTCCTCTTATGTGACAGTGACAAACTTTCTGATTTGGGCAACTGTATGAGGGCAGCTGCTTGCTAGATATTTTCAGGCATACTTAAAGCAACAATATTACTTAAACAGAACCAAAAAAAATTTTTTTATGGGCTCTAATAGAATTAAGGTATAATAATGCTGAATAAGATCTAATTTAATTTAAAAGGTTTCACACTTGGAAAAGAAACAGAACTAGCCTTTCTGCAAAGTAGTTATATTTTCCTCCTTGTAAGTTTGTATTTGTGTTAATGCAGCATAGATGAAACCAGTCCTAAGTCAGGTAATAAACAGATGCAGAAATACAGTAGGAGCATTTTATTAAAGACCCCCTCCTCATGCCTCCAGGACTCTGCCAGGTCGGGAGAGAAAATGAAGGGTTGCCAAACACTTCTAACTTTCCTAAAATTATCAAGACTACATAGCTTTTGGTAATCATCAACAGAAATTAAGGGGCCAAATCCCCAATTAGTTCTGTATACCACTTTGCACTGTCTGTCTAGTGAAATGTAAACCAGCAACACAGAATGGAAGAAATCACGTTTGTAGACACATGAACGTAGCAGCAACTCTGACTGCTTAGGACTGTCCTTAGTCCATGATGGGGGCACTACTACTACCAAAGAGAAATCCTGCTGATCCACCAGGAGCTGCCTTCAGAAAAAAAGAAAAAAAAAAAAGAAAGAAAAAAAAAAAAAAAAACACACTTTGCACCACATGAGGACAGAGTCTTACTCTGGACACTAACATGCAACAATTTGCTGTATATTCATTGATACTGCTTAGCTATTATAATAAAAGCAAGCTTCACTACTACTCTGTGATAATTTTATTTATAATGCACACTGCAYGTAAATGCTATCTTTAAAAAACACTTTTGGTTCTTTTTTTTTCCTAGAATGATTTAAGGAAGAAAAAATATAGTGCTCATTTTGGAATTCTAGCAGAAAAGATCATTACACTTAGTACTGACACCTTGTATAATTTGAAAAATGATGTGACTTTTGAGTAAACATGAACATGCCATAAAGAAGGTGTTCTTACATTAATTAAAAAAGTTGGGTCTACAGGCTAGCTAATGAGCCAGAAAAAGTCTTGATTTTTAAAACATGCGTTACAAGGCATGAATTATGTTCCTAGCTAAAGGTATTTATTCTGTGCATTTTTTTTTAATAACCTACAGAATCAAAGACTACCTCTGGAAAACAAGAAAACACAGAATAAAATGTATTGATTATATAGATTAAAATGGTCTTTATAAATTAGTAAATTAATCTGAAGAACAATATGGTATATAAATTGTCATAGCTATACACTGGGTGTTAACCATTTAGTGGATAGGACTCCCAACAATTGTAGAAGGTTTTCTGCTTACTTTAATGAGCCACAAATCTGAACCCA